TTTAATGGTACCATCATAGTGACATGTCCTGTGTATAAGATATGAGAGAAGAAGAAATCGTGTAAGTTTTGCATTTTTGTTGAGCTTTAGTTTTACTAGATTATTATTTAAGACTTGGCTGTTTTTACCTTCTGGTGTGCAAGCTTATGTGCTACATCAGTGCGAGTTGCTTATCCTGTTTTCATTTTCTTCTTTGCTAACAGAACCCGAATTTGTTCAGGGCTGCAGTGTATGCAGTTAAAACAACTTGCCGTCCTAGGAGGCTTTGAGATTCGAGCTGGTCATGTGACGTGGTTCCACCAATAACTTGGATAGAAGTCTTTCGGGTAGGACTTCCAGAAGAAGGCAGTTGCTTTTCTAAGAAAGAGACAGACTTAGCTGACAGACATATTTTGCCCTTTCTCTGTTCTTTCCTGGAAGGTGGTCATGAGGCTTAGATACTTTTAAGCCATCTCAGTCTTGATGATGAGAGACATATGCTAAAGATGGCAGAGGCAGTTTTTTCATGGTATCATGGATTCATTGTATAAATCTTGAACTGCTTTATTAGTCAAGATTCTCCAGAGAAACTGAACCAATAGGAGATGGAAAAAATATGTATATATTTAATCTTAAGGAACTGGCTCATGTGATTTTGGAGGCTGAGAAGTCCCATGATCTGCTGACTGCAAGCTGGAGACCAGGAGAGCCAGTGGTATAAATTACATCCTGAATCCAACGGCTGGAGACCCAGAGAACTGGCAGTGTAAGTCCCAGTCTGAGGGCAGGAGAAGAGCAATGGCCCGGCTCACACAGGCAGACAGAGAGCGAATTCTCCCATACCGCACCTTTTGTCCTACCCAGGCTCTCGATAGATTGGGTGAGGCCCACCCACACTGGGGACAGCTTCTGCTTTACTCAGTCTCTTGCTTCAGTTGTTAATCTCATCCAGAAATATCCCTACAGATGTACCCAGAGGAATGTTTAACCAGACATCTGGGCACCCCATGTCCCAATTAAGTTAACACATAAAATTAACCATCATAGCTGCCTTCCTCTGGGCCTCACGTTCTGTGAGAACAATGCTGGGCAAGGTCCCACAGTTGTGTTCTCATATCTGCTGAATTCAGCCCCTAAGCAAAACATATACCTTAATTGGATTTCTTGGCTTTTAAAATCTTTGAGGCTCGTGACAAGTGTGTCATGGTGCCTCCTCACTCTGCTTGGCGATGAGACTTTGCTGGCCATGACTCTCCTTGGCCGGTCAGCTTCTGTTAGGTCCTGCTAGGAGTGGGCACATGAGAGACTGGAACGCAGAGTGAGGAAGAGGGACCTGCTCCTCTCTGTTTGCTTTCTGTCCCTAACGGTGACGGCACAGCCATGGATCTCAGCCCAGCAGTGACAGTTAATTCCTGGCGGAGCTGGCTCCAGTTCGCAGCGTTTCCACACTTGCAGAACCAGTGTGGTCTTGCCACGCAGAGGTCAGAGCACCGTCAGCTGGCACCCCCTCTTTGGAGTTTTGAACCGGCTCAGGGGGTCCTGCCAGGGTCCCCGGGCAATGGTGCCAGCAGAGCCACGTCCACTCAAGTCTAACTGCCGGCGCCACAGGGCGCCTGCTTCGAGCTTCTGTGTTTTGATAATCCCCTGTCTTTGTTTCCCATCCCTAAGATGGTAGCTGCTTCCTGTGCTTATCCCTGTGACACCCGTGTCCCCTTTTTTGCTCTGTCACCTCTTCACTATCTGGTTAACAATTGTTTTTATCAGATCATCTCTGTTAAAATAGTCGGCGTGGTTTTGGTCCCGATACAACAAGCAGCCAGATTCGCAGATCCTGCACGAAGGGGACCCAGGTCCTCTTCACAGCTACCCCAGGTGCAGTGTCCCGCTAACCTACGTCAGTGTCACAGCGACTTTTCCACGTGAGATTATTAGATTGGGGA